ATGCCCTACCCTCGGGCCTTGTCTGAGGCATCGTGGCCATCGCGGCCCTTAGTGGTCCGCATCGGCGACCTTCGGTGCCCGACCCCGGATCAGTATCTAACACCTTCCCACTATAAGAACGGATCGAGGAATGGGGAATTTTCCCCATCCCCGTAACATACACCCTCCCCCGGTAGAGGACCAGCTCTCCTTGCTTCTCCCACTCGTCCGACCTAAGCATCCCCTCTCCTAGTTCTCACATAGCTTTCACCACCCTCTCATCATGGTCCTTTGCCCCACGTTGTCATATCCATCCATGGCCATCGACTTCGACTACCTCCGATCTCTCCAGACTACCTCTGCTCCTTCTTCACTAACCTTGGAGCTCCCATATTCCACAATCACCTCGGTATCCCTCAATGGTCACTGTTATGGAAATGGGAAATTTCCCAATTTAGACTCTTATGGGCCCTGCACACACCCAAATCACATGATATGTAAATAATTAGAGTTTATCCAATTATTAACCACCTAAACTACCACTTGTGAAAACATCTGTTAAACCACATGCTAAAATATCTGTAAAATCGCATGAGCTCAACCTCTACTCCCTTCCCTCTTCCTGCACCTCGAACAGACGAAAATGGGCACCTCCGGCCCCATTTTTGTAACAGTCACCACCCCCTCTTTTCAATTTATTACCTATGCCTCCCTAAGTATGAGCCCCGAAGGCTTCCGGACAGCTCCGACATCTGCTAGCACACTCCCACCTCCGCTGGGCAATACACTCGCTTGTCCTGCAAGCCCACCTTCGGGCCTATCCCTCCTTTCCGTTTCTGGGTTATCACCTACCATTCCGTTAACCCCGTAACCCAACTTGTCAGTAATATTCAATCAGCTAATGGGATGCAGGTTCGTCTCTACCTTGGGGTGGGTTGAAGGGGTTACAGATGGTGTTGGTGGGAGAGGGGGTTCGGGTATGGGCATCCATGGCTGCATCCTCTGGAAGCGCTGCCATTGGCTGTCAAGGAGGGTGTCAGGGCCCGGCCTCAGACTCGGAGGCTCCCTGACCTCATCCCCCATCTAACCTGTCCTCACACTATGCGGGGCATGAGATGTATAGTAAAAGGAAAGATAATATATACACTTGCCTATGCGGGGCATGAGATGAGAAGAAGGGTAAAGGTCTCATCTCCCCGCATGGTTGCTATATAAAGGAATGGGTCACATGCCCACAACTATACAGCTCCTAGAGTTGTGTAGTGTGACCCGGAGGGAACATCCAGGTGGCAGTGCCCAGTAAGCGTGGGAACGTTCTGGGCAAGTTGCTTGCCCAGAACTGTGGCTGTGACCCGTGGGAACATTCTGGGCAAGCTGCTCGCTCAGAAAGTTCCCACGCTATCCCGTGCACACGGATACACAACACAGAAAGGCAACAACAAGGCAACAATGAAGGAATGGAAGGAAGGGATTGGTTGGGGAGTCTGGGGCACCCTAGGGCAGGGTGCTGAACCCTGACAGAGGGTGGCCTCGTGCTTCCATTTGGCCCAGGTGGTGGGCATGGGGCAGAGCTGGTAGATGCTCTCATGAAGCCAGGGGTTGATCGCTTGTTCGAAGCGGTCCACCAGCCCCATGTCGCCTAGCTGCGAGATGGGTCCCAGTACCTTGAACTCTTGGATGACCCTGTCCATGGACTTGTTCCCCTGCCAGATGGTTGCTAGTTTCTGCTGGGCTGTAGCTTCCCGGTTCGGGTCTTGGAACATGGTGTCAAGTTCTAAATCAAACTCATCTGTGGTGGGTGTGGGGGAGCCTGCTGCCAGCAGTGCCACGGTGCGTTGCGTTGCCCATGCCCCTGCAGTCCCTCCTTTCATGTAGGACAGCACAAAGAGGACCTGGGAGAGGGCGTCAGGGAACTCATCTGCATGGACATAGAGGTAGATCCCACATTCGGCCTTGAAGCGGTCAAGGTCCTTGCTGGCTCCAGAGAAGGGGGTGGGGGGGGGTGACCTTCAGCGGCCTGGGCCTGGGTGCGGGTACATGAGTGGGCTGGTCCCGGGTTCGGCTCTCTACAATGGTCTGTAGTTTCTGGAACCAGGCCAGCAGGTCATCATATTGTTCTTGTGTCACCATAGCAAGGGGGGGAATGAGGTTAAAGTCTTCTTCTGCTGTCAGGGGCCAGTCCGGGGTTGAGAGCGTCCGGGTATATCACCCGGTGCTGAGGGCCCGGTAGGTATGAAGCGAGCGTGTGTGGCAGCAAGCCCGGCGCAAGCAGATGTCCCTGAAGTTACCTGCACAGCAGAGTCACTTCCCCAGCCCACAATTACGTAACTTCTGATGCTGAAAACGTGTGAATATTTTCTCGCACACTTATCGGTTATATTGGTTACTTCTTCTCTCCTCATCACATTGCTTCCACGTTACCATCTCATAAGTGTTGAATGTTTGCCCTTGTGGACAGTAGTCTGTGTGCTAAGTCCGACAATGTCACTTGTTGAGGTTGAACTTCACCCTAGCTTCCGTGTGAACAGTTCAAATGTGCTTGTTACCGGGAACAATGGGATCATGTTAGCACCGAGGTCTTCAATGTTTGGTCCGCAGAATCAATTCATACTGACCAACACGCAGCTCAGACCTTCATTTCTTCCCACCTCTCAGGCATGACTTCACATCGATCTGCCAAGATTCGCCCCTTGCTTTGTTCGCAATATCCATGTCGGTGCTGATGTTCGTCGTGATTATCACTTTGCAATCAACTGCCAGTTCCACGACAAGTGCCAATCCTCTTTGGTGTTTTGACCTTGTGTTAAGTGGGCAATGCCTTATCAGAGAGATTAAGGACACCCGAATCGGACTTATTTCTCTATTTTCTCACCTTATTTTTGTGTATTTATCTCGACCCCTGCCCTTGGCACTCTCACGAGCAGCCTACAGTTTGCAGGTTAAATATCCAGAAAAAACAACAACAACCTTGTGTTAAGCAAACTACTGCAGTAAAGTGGTGCGCCTCCACCTTGTCCTACTGCTTGAAATCCCCACAGATGATGACACCCAACCCTCCTCGAGATTTCGTTGTTGCTTATTATGCTGATGGATTAGCCCCAGAATCATGGACATTCATGCAAATAGTGTTCGTGACACCATCGAAAACTCGTCGATAATCAGATATTCCATTGGCTACCACGCTCGTGGAAGCTCCTCAATCTTCCGCCCACTTGGCATCCTTACTCCCTGCACACTTAATTCAAAAAGGACATGCAGCGTCTTACCACCAATAAAACTCGCTGCTATCCCTGTGTAAGCTCCCACTGCAATCTTACATATCTGCAGCGTTATGTGTTTGGAATACTCCATCACTGGATGTATCACTCGTGGCTCTTCTTTTCAGCCAAATGATACTATATGCTCGCAGCTGTCCCTCGTGGAAACTGGACACATCTATGGGTTCCGCAGTTCCTTCTGCGCTTCCTAAATACTCAGTGGTACGTCTCCGCGTACCTGCTCCATTGAGCTTGATCCCCAAGTCGTTTGGGGCTACCGTTTCATTTCTCCCGCCCATAATCCCCCGCCAACACATCACGAACCTGTGCATATCCTTGCCTGTTGCTGCCCACACCCCTTCTCCTGAGATGCTCCACTCATTTGTTCATTATTTCAATTGCATGCTGCCGATGCAATATTTCCTCTGTCCGCTGTCATTGGGCTATAAAATGATCCAAATCAGCTTCGGTTTCACCTGTCTCAAAGCCTTAATTACATTTTGTAATACAAATTCCTTTCTTGATTCTGTAATAATGTGTACATGCTGGGCAGGTTTTTGCAAAGCAACGCAAGCACTCTAGTGGGAATAGTGAGAAGAAGACTGCTTCTCTGGTTCCCACCCCAGGTATGTTTATATACATGGCACTTGGGTCACATGAGGATTGCCATGTCATCCTCATGCACAGCCCCAGCCATCCAGGTATCCCCATGGGGGATCCCGAAGAGATCTGCTGCAGGTGCGCGTGCTGGGTACACCCAGGGGTTGTCCAGAGTATCTGGGGCTGGGCATGTCGTGTGTGGACTGTGGGCAGGTCAATGGTACATCAATCAAGGAAAGTTGTCTGTGTAAATAGAAGTAGAAAGAATAAAGAATGATACAGAGGAAGGATGGAAAGAGGGGGAAGTAGAAGGAGGAGGAAATAGGAAGGGGGAGAAGGGGGTAGCAGGTGGAGTGGAACTGGGTGGGCCAGGTGGGGTGGGTGTGCCCTGACAAATCGCTTTCCTCAGTGATGTCTGACCACAGGTATTCCATTGTCTGTCCTTGCGCACAGTAGCCCATGAAGGCATATGCTGGTTCCACTGTGATTTGTCACCATACCACCTTCTTTTTCACTTTGCCTTTATATAATTCCAGACTCCAAATGACTGAAAAAATTGGGTTGCATTTGTCGGATGTCTGCATTCCAATTAAACACATACTTTTATAGCCTAAGTATATTCACGAAATGAACTGAAAAAAATAGAAATAGATTCATGCTGGGACAGGCGAAAGGAAACATGGGCTGTGCAGAGTCAAGCGAAGGGCGAAGTGCAAGCACTCTAGTAAAATACTTGCCGTGAAAAGTCGGTTCCTTGACTCCCAATTTCGATTTGGTAAAATACCAGAGTAATTCTGGTCATTTACTGTGAAACATTTCCCACAGTGAGACATGAGCTGCTCGAGGGCGTAAATGGCGGTTGGACCCTATATGTCACCAGATTTTATTCTCACACTTATTCAGACCTCGGACCCTTTATCCACCCCTGTTGCGCCACAATGATTTAAACCTGGGATCAGCCAGGTAGACCAGAGGATGACGTTCTACAGTAAAAAGAAAAATACATTCTTGCAACGTAACACACGTGAAGTAACAATACCGACTCCAATAAAGAATCGAACAACCCAATACGGCAACAAGGATCAAGGGCTCTCTTGTAGCCACGCCTCAGCCAAAGTGTAAGTATCAGGCGTTGATTCCCCTGCTGGCCAAAAACCCATCATCTCAAGGCTTGAGTGTTGGATCTACGCGTCCGCGTTTCCCTCCGAGTGCCACCTGCTTGGCAATCGAATGGAACCCAGACCCCTAACGTGAGCACGAAGCAAACCCGAGTGTCAGGGCCCAGCTCAATATGAGAATGACGATGTTGAATCATACGTACATCGTATATCGTTCTGAGGTGCGCTTTCGGGATCCTCCCGTCTTGAGGCGCAAGGAGGTACCACGCAACGAGCCAACTTGCTAAACTTGCTATGGGCCCGAAGTAATCACTAAGTGAACAGTGAGAAAGAGTGAGAATATATGTCAGAAACGATTATGTATTGGTCGGGTGTGTGGAATTGCGAACAACGGAAAGTGCCATTACTTTGCACTATGAAGATTCCAAAGCATGACAAGTGTCTCCCAGAGTGAGAGTGAGTCCTTGTTGGGCGCAGTGGAGTGCTCTCTGAGAAAGGTGGGGGGAGGGAATACGGCTGTTAGTGAGGTATCGTGGTTCAATGAGAAGCGAAACATACTCAAAGATCTAAACACATTCGGTGTAAGGCGGTCATATTCTTAAACGACAAAACAGGTTATACGACATGCATACCCTTTCAAAGTTAACATCAACGAAGTTCCCATCAGGATCAAACGCCCTCGAATCGGATCCGTGCACATCCCACTTGATGTTCTTGATATAAACTCTGTCCCAGGCCGTGACGCAAGGCATAACACAGGTGGGGGAGGAGAAACAAATGGAACTCTCGATCACACACGGCAGGGATAAAATGTTCACTTACCGAAAGAATGGATCTGGAACGAGGCTCAAAATGTACAACGGGATCGAAATTATAATGTAGAAGATCGAAGTTTTCGGCGTATACGTTGGACGTGGGAGTGATGGATAGCTGAAAGCGGTGTGAACTAAAACCGTGAATAGAATTGCAACTATGAGCCCGACTGGTGAAGTAAGGTGAGAATGTGGTTTTTTTAGGGGGGGTGGAAGAATAATAAGGTGCTAGTTTGAGGATGGCATTGATCAGGGAATGGTAGTGCTTACAGTCTAGCGCTGTAGTGCAGTAAGTGAAGAGCCGCATGATTGTATGCAAAGGCCAGAGCTAAGAAAGACGATTCGAAGTGTGGGCGCCTTGTCACTAGCTTACCGCGAACTCGTTTGAACGTGTGAATTGGCCAAAGCACACCATCACTGTTTAGATCGAAGTAGCCAACATGCTGGTAAGCGCCCAAACGTGGGAGATGAGACGTCCCAAGCCTAAGGTGAGCATCTTGTGGTTGCGGTGCAAAGTTAATGTGAAGATCCTACCTTCTGTAGAGTTGTCTTTTCACCGATAGTGGACTCAGGTCGTGTCATCGGTAGTAATAGCAAGTCTTGTGGGTGAAATTGTGCTGGGGGGGGAGTGGCAGGGCTAAGGCAGAGGGTTTGTTGGTCGATCGAGATAAATACGAGTCGAATTTGACTTCTAGCGGTGTTTGGCGTCCGTTGCGAGAGCAAAATGCCAATTCCAAGAGATTGGTCAGGCGCAACCAAGCGCAACCAAGCGCAGCCAAGAATTAAGACCTGGCTCGTGAAGATCGGGATGGTGACTATCGAAAGAGGGGTTGGCAAAGCAGCAGACGGACGGACAAGCCACATAATTGGTCATCGACGCTATTTGCGCTATCATGCATGGAGGTAAAGGAAATGGAGCTCTTTATTACATAGCATGTCAGCAGTTCCGAGGCCATCAGACGAAACCGTTGGACATACTGAAAAATGAACAATCCCAGCACGCTGGAATGCGTGGATAAGCTAAAGGCAGGGGAGCTTAATGCACCCCACCAGTCTCGGTCGTCGAAACTTTTGCCGAAGTCCGGAATCAATGCCCGCGAAAGCATGCCTAAGAGGAAGGGTTATAGCGCCCAAACGCGGCAAAGGTTTATCAATTGCTCAAACCGCATTATTTAACGGTACAGGGTAAGGGAATTTGATTCCATACCTGAGGAAGTAGGGATCCATACAGGAAGCCAAAGTCCGGAGGTGTACCAGTTCCGCAAGCGAGGCTGCCAAATACCGTTTTTTCAAGGGGTCAGCTTATCAAATGGTGAAGCCAGTCTTTACCTAGACCGAGCAAGAAATCCATTGACCCGCTTTGCGATTATTTCCCACGGGCAACCGATTTGATCCAAGTACGCGTCCTTGCTTCTTCTTCTTCTTGGAACCCAGAAACTTCGGCAATACGAGACCTGCTGTGGACTGTGGGAGCCAAGAGCCCCCGAGACGATGAGTCGGTCGACTCTGCTATTTACAATATAGCTCAGCTGTTTTGCAGCGCCGGAGCTGGCCGAAATTGATTGATTGTCTCTGATTGCCTGATTACTTCACCCAGCCCGGAGATCATTTTTCCACGGAAATTTTCGGAATTGTGGTGGTCAGGTCCCTGTCAGACTCGTACCCAGTCGGAGGAGCTCCGTGGACGCGCAAAATGATAGCTCCAAACAGCACAACTACATATACACATATGCATACACGAGTTCAGTTGAGCAAACCTTGTTGAAATCTTGGTTTTCTTGGGAGTTATAGTGCGCTGTGGCCAACTCACAATGTGATGTTGAGCTAGCGGCGCTATTTTTCCTTTCTTGGTATTCCTGCTACCAAAGTCAGTGCGCCATTGAGGCGACTGCTTATAAAAGCAGTGAACAATTTTTCACTTTCGTCTCCCTCAGTTCAACAACGATTGACTGAGGTGAGACTGCGCTTTTACCACACATTTATCTTGTCACTCATGTACCCTCATGTGCCCTAGCGTAAAACGCTAGGTAATTAGTTCCAATCTAATCAGTTCAACAACGATTGACTGAGCGTAAAACGCTAGCGTAAATCGCTAACATTCTAATAGGTTACGAGCCTAGTTCACTCAGAACTCACCCATGTCGCAGACTACCCCCTCCACTTCTCAGCCAGCCCCTGCCCCCACCACTACAGACAATACCCGTTTCCCCATAACTATTCTAGACGCTGATGGTAAAACTTACTCCAACTGGGCATCAAGGATGCGCGGTGTCTTGAAGATAAACCGGATCTGGGATGTCGTAGAAGATGTGTCAAAAGGCGGCACTGAAAGGCCCCCGGACACTGATCCGACCTTAGCTGACTGGCTCGACAAAGATGAGAGAGCGTTCACCTACTTGAGGTGCTATGTTAGCGACTCCTGCTTGTCCATGATGAGGAACAAACCTACTGCGCGTGCTGCCTGGAAAGCCCTCTCTGACCGATTTGTCGGAAAGGACGAACAAGACATGCACATGCTTCACTCTTCCCTCTTCCAATTTCACTTTGACGACTCTAAACCACTGGGTCCCCAATTCCAAGAAGTGGAAGACACGCGCCTCAAGGTCACCTCCTTAGGTCTCGAAATTGGAGACAAAAGCTACCTCTCTGCCCTCATCTCCGCCACCCCCGAATCCTACCACACCATCAAAAGCATTGCCCTCATGCAAATGAAGAGGAACAACATCGATTCCGAAGGGTATATCGATTACGTCCTTTTGGAAGAGAAACTCTGTAATTCTGACCCAAAGACTATTGCCATGTTTGCTAACTCTGGCAAATCCAAACGCCGCAATGCAGGGAAGTCCAGTGGCTCCAAGTCTGACGCCGCCACCCCTAAATCGGTAGTCCGCTGCACTAACCCTAAATGCGGCAACTTGGGACATACGTTCGAACAATGTTGGTCGGAAGGTGGTGGGTCCGAGGGAAAGAAACCGAGGAGGCAGGGGAAACAAGGTCAGAGCTCAGGCGCTCCGAAAGAATCCGTGAAGACGGCAATAACATTTGTGGATGAGGAGAAAGCCTTGGTAACTGAAACGACGGAGGAAGTAGCAAACACACTCAACTCGCTAAACGCGGGGATTACTCCTGATCATCATGCTCGAACTGAGTGGGTGATTGACTCTGGTGCCACTTCTCACTTGTGTCGCAATCGCGACTGGTTTATATCCTATCGCCCTCTTGATGTCCCTAAAAAGGTCGTTTTGGGAGATAAGGATGTGATTTTAGCGCCGGGGATTGGACAGATAAGAGTAGAGTATGACGTCGGGAACTCACAGGAAACCCTCATAATCCGTAACGTCCTCTACTGCCCCAAAATTGCACACAACCTCCTTTCCGTTCTCCAACTAAACCAATCGGGTGCAGGTGCAGACTTCTGGGACCAAAAATGTCGAATTTTCGACTCCTCCAAGAAACTTGTCACCGTCGTGCCTGTGGAAAAGGGCCTCTACCGATGGCCAGTGAGAATCCCCTCCTTATCCACAGCCTTCATCACTTACCCCTATACCAACAACGCTAACGTCGCACGCACCATCACCGCTACTGCATCCCTCAACATCTGGCATGCCCGATTGGGGCACATCGCAAAAGATTCGATCTTGAGGATGATGCGGAGTGGAATGGTTAAGGGAATGGATGTTATAGGAGCAAACGACGCTGATCGATCAACTTACTGTCCCGAATGCGAAGCCGCATCTCATCACCGAAACCCCATTCCTTCCGAAACACAAACCCGCTCCGACCAAGTACTTGGTCGTGTATTCTCTGATGTTTGCGAACTGCAAACAGTATCGAGTGAAGGCTACAAATACTTCATTACTTTCGTCGATGACTTCAGTCAGTACCTCACCGTATATCCAATGAAGAACAAATCCGACGCACTCGATAAGTTCAAAGAATTCCTTGCGGAAGCCGAACGTCAAACTGGGAATAAGTTAAAGATTCTCAGGACAGATGGCGGTGGCGAGTACTTCTCTTCCGATTTCTCCAACTATCTCAAATCCCTCGGCATCCTTCACGAAAAGACCAACCCTCGAACGCCTCAGGAAAACGGTGTAGCGGAAAGAGTCAACAGAACCCTTGTGTCAATGAGTGTCGCGATGCTGAAAAGCGTCGAATCCAAAATTGGACGTACCTCTTGGCCATACGCTATCCAACACGCCATGTTCGTAAAGAACGTTTCTCCTCATGCAGCGCTCCCCAACGACATCTCCCCCACGAAAGGTACACAGGCAACAAGCCAAATGTATCGATGCTACGTACCTTCGGGTGCAATGCAACCCTCCATATCCATCGCGACCTCCGACGCAAACTTGACGATCGCTCTAAACCCGGCATCCACCTTGGATTAGCTCGGGGCAAGAAGGCATTTCTTATTTGGGATCCAAAGGCTCGAAAGTTGCACGAGTCGAGAGATGTCCATTTCTTCGAGAGCGACGAGGAGAACTCGGAACGCGTAACGATCGAGGTCGAGTCTCACAACTCCCCGACACACGTAATCGTTCCAGCGGATGAAGATGGAGAGTCGGGAGAAAGAGATGATGATGATGGAGGAGATCTAGAAGAAGGAGAGGAAGATAATGGAGGGACGTCGGAAGTAGGAGAAGCAGAGAATGAAAACTCACCCCCGCTCCAACTTGAACCTGTAGTCCAGGACTCCCTACCCCGCCGCTCAACCAGAATCCGCCACGCGCCCATTCCAGACGACGACCCCCGATATGAGAGATCTTCTTATAATCGGACTCAACCTTCCACTGATTCAGTGAATGTCGCTTGGGCAATGACGGCGAGCATCAAAATACCATGAACGTACAGCGAGGCGATGGATCGTCCTGACGCGGACTCATGGTTAGGGGCGTGTACCGACGAATTAAATGTGCTAAAGGAAACAGGTACTTACCTTCCTGTGCGCAGAGACGAAGTCGATCCCCACAACGTCGTCGGGAGTAAGTGGGTGTTTGCTTTGAAGAAAGGGGCCGATGGTGAAATAGAGCGGTATAAGGCGAGAATAGTGGCGAAGGGATTTAGCCAAATCTACGCGGTAGACTATGAGGAGACGTTCGCACCTGTGGTCAAATGGTCGTCGATCCGAATCCTCCTCGCGTTAGGTGCCCGTCTCGATCTTGAAATACATCAAATGGATGTGAAGACCGCGTTCCTCAACGGGGAATTGGAGCATGAGATTTTTATGCAGCTGCCTCCTGGCTCAGCAGACTATGGGAGGAGAGACATCGTATGGAAATTGGAGAAGAGTCTGTACGGCCTTAAACAGGCCTCTCGAGCGTGGTACAAGAAAGCCAAAGTCGAACTGAACAAACTCGGCTTCTCCCGCTCGAATTCAGATCACGCCGTTTTCATTCTTTCCCAACGCGCTCATTTTTGCATCGTCGCTCTTTATGTCGATGACTTAATGATCCTTTCCAACCACCTTCCCCTTCTTCGAAAGAAGAAGAAGCAGCTAATGTCCACATTTAAGATGAAGGACTTGGGGGAAATTCATTGGTTCCTTGGACTGGAAATCACGCGCGAGCGCCAAAGGCGCTTAATTTTTGTCTCTCAATCTCGCTACATATCCGAGGTTGTCGATCGCTTTGGATTTAGCACCTCTCGTACAGTCTCGACTCCTATGATGCCGAATCTCAAACTCACTCGCCACGAAAGCTCTGACCCTGACATCAACGCTCGCGAATACCAATCCCGAATTGGTTCGGTAATGTACGCGATGCTAGGAACTCGACCAGACATCAGCTTCGCCATCACCATACTCAGCCAATATTCTTCCAATCCAGGAGAAGGGCATTGGGCCGCTATCAATCGTCTACTACGCTACCTCAATGCTACAAAACATTTCAAATTGGTCTACGACGGTAATTCGAAGTCTAGCGACAAGACTGGCTATTCCGATTCGGATTGGGCTGGAGATCCGAGAGATTCTCGATCTATTTCTGGATTCGTTTTTACCATGGCCGGAGCAGCGGTAAGCTGGAGTTCAAAGAAACAGACGTCGGTGGCGCTCTCGAGTACCGAAGGCGAGTATATGGCTGTTACCCATGCAACTAAAGAAGCGCTCTGGATTCAACAGTTTCTACGCGACCTTAACTTCCCTCCTTCCGACCCAACCACCCTCCTTGTCGACAATCAAGGCGCTATCGCGCTTGCCACCAATCCCGCATTTCACGCACGAACGAAACATATTGGCGTCCGACATCACTTTATTCGCGATCAAGTAGAAGATCACACGATTTCTTTACAATACATCCCTACCGATGATCAAGTAGCCGACGTATTGACGAAGGCTCTCGCGTACGCCAAACATTCGAAGTTTAGAACAGCGATGGGACTGTGTGAGTAGCCACATCGAGTGGGTGTGTTGAAATCTTGGTTTTCTTGGGAGTTATAGTGCGCTGTGGCCAACTCACAATGTGATGTTGAGCTAGCGGCGCTATTTTTCCTTTCTTGGTATTCCTGCTACCAAAGTCAGTGCGCCATTGAGGCGACTGCTTATAAAAGCAGTGAACAATTTTTCACTTTCGTCTCCCTCAGTTCAACAACGATTGACTGAGGTGAGACTGCGCTTTTACCACACATTTATCTTGTCACTCATGTACCCTCATGTGCCCTAGCGTAAAACGCTAGGTAATTAGTTCCAATCTAATCAGTTCAACAACGATTGACTGAGCGTAAAACGCTAGCGTAAATCGCTAACATTCTAATAAACCTTTCTCCCTCTCCATATCCGTAACCAGCAACTAGGGGTGTAAGGCCCTAACTCTCCGATAGCCAAGGCTATGGGTTGGCCAGAATTTGCTTACCATGTTTCTCTTCTTCAGAATTTGAGCGTTGGATCTAACTGTCCGCGTTTCCTTCCAAGCGCTACCTGCCTAGCAATAGAATGGAAACCGGAACCCTAATAAGGAAAAGGACAAGGAACAAAAAAAACAGCACGGTGCGAAACAGGACAGTTCAAAGGATGAGAACGATGATATATATGAGAGAGGAAAGGATTAATCAACATACATCGTATACCGTCTTGAGATGCGCTTTCTTGACTTTTCCATCTGGACCGGCGAGGAGGTAATACGCAATGAGGAAACTTGCCAAACTCGCTATGGGTCCGAAGAAATCACTAGTGGTAATGTGGTGCCGTAAATGTACTCGTGTGAGAAAAGTGCCGAACGCTGGTAGCGGTTGGCTTGCTTACTTTGCACTGTGGAGATTCCAAATCATGACGACCGTTTCCCAAAGCGTAAGCGAGTCCTTTTCAGGTGCAGTGGAATGCTCGCTGAGGAAACAAAAAAATATGGGAATGGGGATTACCATAGGTGAAGGACGATATTTGAAGACATACATACGTGAAGATCTAAAATGCGTGTTCGTGGGGTGTAGAAAAACAAAACACCTCACTCAACGAAAGTGAGTTGGAAATGACGAGGGGCATACTTTTTCAAAGTTCTCATTGACGAAATTCCCATATGGATCGAACGCCCTCGAATCAGTCCCGTGAACATCCCACTTGATATTCTTGATATAAATTCTGCTCCGAGTGGAGTGAAGGGATAGAACGGGGTAGGAGTGCCAGCAGAAACGGAAAATGAACATCTCAGTCACATCATTAGTGCCGACGAAGAGAGATGTTCCTTTACCGGAAGAAGGGGTCAGGAATAAGACTCAAAAGGTACAAGGGGATGGTAAGTATAATGTGGAGGAGCGAATCCTTAGGCGAGTAGATCGGGCGCGGGAGGGATGGATAACTGAATGCGAGGTGAACGACGATAGTGAAGAGAATCGCGATTCCAAGCCCGACTTTGGATTTTTTTTTTTCAAGAACATCGGGATGTTCGTTATAGCGAAAAATATTGGGTGGGGATCGTACTTACAATCTAGCGCTATATATATTGCAGACGCATTAACGGGGGAGAATGATATAAACTTGTGCGCGATCGGTAAGTAATTCAGGCTTACTGCGAACTCCGCGAAAAGTGTCTGCAGGCCAGACGATATCGTCGCCATCGGGATCGAAATAACCAACATGCTACAGAAGCGCCCGAACCGAGGGAGCGTAATGTTTAGGTTTAGCCTGGAAAGCGGAGCTTCTCGCGGTATGTCAAGGAAAATGTCACCTTTTGCAAAGAGGTTTTTTCACTCATAGTTCATGAACGGGTCGCCTTGTCTGTGAGTAGTACGCCCGAGCTGGGGTCTTGTTGGGGAAAAGGATGGAGGGTTGGGGCAAGGTAGGGCATAAAAAATCTCCCTGACCAATAATTCGTTCGATCACGCGAAATCAAATTGTCACAATGACATATCAATTTTTAATTTTTAATCGTCATAGTGAACACTTGGTTGAACGGAGCGCCCGTAAAGTGTGCTTATGCCATCAAAGCGCTCAAGATGAAGCCACGGAGGAAAATCTTCACATGATAAGTACAGAGTGTCACGCAATTAGCGTGTAATTAAATAAGCCGAACTAAAGTGCAAGCTTCTGCGGAAGGGCAAGAGTGTATGGTCATGGCTCATAAGCAGTGGTGCTGGATAGGGATTAATGTTGGCTTACTTGTCCCGTAACTCGATTTTCCTAAGCTACAGACTAACACTTTCAGAGCCGCTTACGAAGCGTCTCGATGTAATGTTGGTGTAGTCGTCCCTACTTTCATACCGATGTGTCATTAGCACAGAATCGAATCTCTGGCGGTCGATCCGCCAACCGGGTTTGGAGCTTGTATTGAAAAGATTTGTAAAGCCATCAATGCATTTCCTGCGCGGCTAGATACCTAGACAAATCATGCATCTTTACCTGACTCTCGTTGTGACAACTTTACTTGCCAAGGTCTATTTCCAGGCACTAAGCCACCAAATACAGTTGTAAGCGATACTGTGGAGCCTATATTGCGTCATCTTAGCTCGCCATGTGCATGGCGATTCAGTTAGAGGGGCTGTCCACATGCTAATGTCTCGAGTGCATCTAGGAATCTGCCTTACGATGACATAATAGCTGCTGAAAGGGGCCGGGTCCCAGTCTCCATGTTGAAATATCTTGTTTCTTGGCTTGTTGTACGCTGTGGACTATAGATCTTGCGCACGGGCATTTCCATGAAGGATTGCCCGATGCTTCTACTTTTGGGACCCATGTCGATGAACGCAGTCGAGGATGGCTTAAAAGCCACCTCGCGCGATTTTTCTCTTTCCTCTCTCCTCAGTTCACATCTTTGGAACTGAGGTGAGATTTCTTTTCATCACTTGGAGCAGACTTAGTCTGACGCTTGTACATATTTCCTAGCGCTAATCCGCGACTAGTTCATAATTCCAATACTCCAGACAATTAGCCCCGCGTTGCGGCCATGCGAACCCCAAACTAGCGTCATAATGAGAGAAATGGGCGGGTTTTAGGATATTTCCTTATACTTCTCGCCTGCAAACCGATATCTGGCAGCACCTATATATATATATACCAGTGTTTTGCCCTGAAGTGTTCTCTCCTCCTGAAAGCGTTAAACCATTTACTCTTCACAACTGCCAAGTGAACCGACACTCACTCAAAGATCTACCCAATGTGATCAACATTAATTTTAAATAACCATCGTTGTCAGCGCGCAGTCCAACCTTTGTCTCAAGGATAGGGATAGGCGATAAACATATTGGAAGAACAGATCAGATATATAACTGTAAAATAGTAAAGGGGTCGAAGGAATCAGATTTAGAATTGGCCGGCTTCCTGAAGTCAACCTCAGGTAACTAGAATGGTGTCGGAGGGGAGGAATAAGACGAGACTTGGAGCGAAGCGCAGCGTAAGCGATTCACAGGAGATGAGATCATAAACACTCGTTAGGTTTACAAGCAGTACGGTTCTCAGTGCACCAGGGATGGCGATGGGCCAGATACCGTGGTTGAAAACTTTGAGATGTGGAGCAAGGGGACTATTTTGGTACTACGAGTCGTTATCATCTTGTAAGATCAGGATGTATGATAGTCGTGAGGGAATCTATTTGGTTTCGCTCTCCATTCTCCCTGCATGCTGCAGGTGCTGCTGAAGTGAAACCATGAAACCAAACCTTGGTCCACTATCACCTCGCTGTACAATCGTGGGAAATGTGGCCCTTCGATAAATGAATGAGGTAAGAATCTCGCGGTAGAGCGTTAGGTGATATGATATGGCTACCACATGGATTCGCCCTTGTCTTGGTCACGTTGTGCCAAGTTTACTCTAGATGTGTCCGATCCGTTGACACTAGTCTATGTGGCTAGAACGCTATCAACCCTACCACTTCCACGCACCCCCAACAACATCGCTCCGGTGGATCGGAATAATTTTCCCATATTCACCATCACTGTTGCCATCACCATCTTCCGCTACTCTTAAGCTACTATGTATTCTGATTCATTTTGGGCCACGCTGTGAGTTCATGCGCTTCCTACACTCAGCATAGTTTGAACGTTGCATTGCAATGAGCTAAATGAGCAGCCGTGTTTGCTAATGTCTATATCTGCACAATAGATGGCTAGGAAAGCCGCTTCCCAAGTGTGAGAATTGTCGGTGCCAAGTGTCGATGGCGCTGCAGAGAATAATACCCTTGCCGCCCTACGCGACATGCGCGACATCGCCGTTGATACTCGTGACCAGTGATTTGCATCGGCGCGCCAGCCGCTTATCGGATTGAACAACGTCATTGCCTACCTTACAAGGCCTGATTGAAGCGAGGATTGTGTCATGTGTCCACTACGGGGGCCGTTATGCACGAACGGTACAACAATTCAATTAAGAGACAATGGGCAAACCCCAGCACGATAACCTAGCCTCTTACTTTCACGAGTGACTCTGTGTGCAGAGAAACTTCACCCTCCAGATGAGTGTACCCCCAAACTCCCCCATGGGCAGCCCCAAGAGTAAACGCCCGCCCGGAATTGAACTTACTTTCGGGGAGCTTGGAGAAACCCCCCAGGTTCATCCAGGTCGTACGCTGATTCTTTGCTTTGATGGGGTGGCGGTAGGTGACTATGGTGAAAGGAATACCGTAAGATATCCAAAGCCGCGCATCGCCTTAAACCGAACTCTGACTGCGATGGTTCTGCAGAATGTCATTCATCTCCTCTCGTGCCTCCAGAAGTCCCACCCAAAACAATTGATATACTATCAGGTCCGAAATCTGGATGTGCTTTGAATTTCGAGTCCTGAGACTCTGTTAGGCCATCATTGGAACATCGTCCGCCCCTCAGCAGTACACATTGGGATCTTTTGGGAAAAGGGCTTCTAACTTCATTGATCATGCCGTAGCATCGTGCACCGAAGATCGCGTAAGTCTTTGTATAGAAGGATTCTCGGTGTGATTCTAATGTACCAGAGGCAGGTCTACGAGGGGTACCGTTTTCTGCAGTCCGCCTGGAAAGAAGGCGACAAAATCTGCGTTTTTGGCTTCTCCAGAGGCGCACACGTTGCCAGAGCTCTAGCTGGGATGCTACATACGGTACAGACATAATTGATCTGTGATGCTGGTGGTGTGTGTTGGACTAATCCTGCATAATAGGCCGGGCTTTTGCCGCCCTGGGAGCATGTCAAGTCCGCCGACGAGCTTTACAAGGACGTAAATAGAGACGCACCCCGGTAAGCCAATCCCTCACGTGGCAACACACCGATCCATGCTTAATTCAGAATCCTCTCCCGCTTCAGCTCGAAGTACAAACGAGATGCCTGCCGTGCCATTAAGATTGATTTTCTTGGACTTTGGGATACTGTTTTGTCGGCTGGCAACCTTGTTTCTCGCACTCTGCCCTTTTCCCAAAGCACCTCTTCCGCGATAGTGTTTAGGCATGCGATGGCTCTGGATGAGAGACGAGCTAGGTAACAGCGCTTAGGTTAGGCCCTGTATCACGCAAATTCGCTGACCTTCCGTCTTTTGCTCGTGATAAGCTTCATACCGTTACCTTGGAGACTTTCAAGCATAGTAACAGCGCGCGGAAATGAGGGATCGGAACACCATGCTTCAAACACCAACGCTGCAGTCTCTTGGATAATTGGATTCAGAGCTCTTATTATCAACATTCTTTTCTCTTTGTTCATCAAGCCGTTCGTGACGTACCGTTTCGGATACAACAACAATTGGCCGCTGGTTCCGGAAGAGGAGTCCCCGTCGGACGTGGAAGAGGTCTGGTTTGCAGGCGGTGAAGGAGCGGAGCTGGATCACCTTATGTAACCAGTTTCCTATGTCCAATAACGATATTAGAGTTTGTGCTGATTTGCGTACTGACCGTGTTTTGGTTGCCAAATATATGATTGTTCACTGTCTAAACAACAATAAACACCCCCCAACGATCTCACCTGATGTATAGATCGTCTACGGATAAAATTCTATATTGACTTTACTATGATTTCTAGTCAATATTACACCTATATTTACCACTTTTCAGTAGGATGTGATTTTCCTGATAATTTACTGAAGGAAAACTGCTAATAAAATAATTCCGCAATAAATGTTACTCAATACAGGAGTGACCAAACTGCTCTTTCTATCGCTTAGAGTGCGTGCTAGTTATCTAGCAGGTTCAGGATCGCTCACTTTTCTCCTGTGGTGTGATAACCAAGTATTGCTGAGAGATTATTCAATTAAGAAGTCCCTCCACCAAATTCTCACTAATTCTCACTATGACACTTTTGTTCAGCTGTGTCTAACTGACCCTAACTCACGCTTAGAGTGACGTGTTAGTTTTATATTAGCTAACAACTAATATTTGCTTTTATCTTTTGGAGCAAACGAACCAACCACTGGTGAGGAGAATTAAACTTTTATTTCTACCTGAGGTTTGAGAGGGGGCAGAAGCGGTGGCCTTTTATGCTTTTCAGAGGCCTCTCTACTCCCACGCCTCGCACTAGTTACATGTGCTACATTTGTATTATAGATAGTTCTAGAATGATATAGGGGCTTGGGCTGTGTAAACTTAATAATGGACTTAGGACATGACTCAGCAATAAGTAATTCATTTCTTTGTCTTTTGGGCCGATCTCAGCGGGATCTTGTAGCGCTGAAGCTATGCTCTACACCGCCTTAATTACGAACGGTTATCTTTAGAAATGACTCGGCTATAAAGGAACTTTCTAGACTGTTCTCTAATTGACCCCTTTTTGTGAAGCCACATCATTACTAATGTTCTAGAGCCTTCCCAATTAATTAACTGATCCGCGGACTTCTGAATCACTTCATGCTTATGATCCGAGATCCAGATCATCAATCATTCCTTTGTTCCGATTTATTTGGGCTTAAAATCAAAAAGTTTTGATGAATCATGGGAAAATATACAAGATCCGGTTTTTTAGCATTTTCTCCTCTTCTGATGCGATCAAAAACTGTCCGCCCGCGCCGGGGAATACTCTATCATATGGTATTCGGTCCGCCAGACTTCCAGGCGCCAATATATTTCCCTTGAGTCACATTACCTTTTGTAAGAATTAGCAAATAAATATATATGAATTATAAGGTGTTTCGCCGTTTGAGCGATATCTCCGTCAGTTTTGAAGCTTTTAGAATGAAACAAAACCGTGGATAAAGTTAAGAAACAGTCCTTCCAGATGGTAAAAAGATTACAGTCAAAAGTTTACTGGTTCCCGAGATATTTACATTTCTTTCCCAATGTTCCTTCTTATTCTGCCGTCTATGTGCTATTTTCTTGTTGTAGGGATATATTCTTTGAATATTACACCTATGTCAAGCTCTAGGCATGATTGTAGTAGATTAAATCTCATTCTACATGGGTGTAGATATTTTATAATGATCTTCTAATGTCTGTCCAGTCTCATAAAGATCATGAGATCTGTTAAACGTCTGAACTTGTCACCTGTTCGTTGACTATTCTGATAGATCATTGTTTTATTCTTTGAATATTATTTCTCCTACAGCGGACACAACGGTATGGTGGCTTACCTTTGTCCCACGAATTCCCCAGTCTCATTTCTCACTCCAAGATGTCGGCGGAGGAAACGAACCGGACGAAATGCCTGCACTTGCAAACATCCCTTTTCGCTGGATGATCCGCGAGTTGTACGAGGCGGACATGAGATATTCTCTTAATGTTCATTGGCGACCTGTCCGACTGGCTCACTATGGCATCCTATTACCCAACGACGGTGGTGACATCGTGGTCCCAGACACAGCCACTCCACGTGATGATTGGGGGCAACCTCCAGACGTCAGGGAATTCAAACCGAGTGATGCTGATGTAGAAATACAAAATAAGCACCCTCTGCGAGCAAAATTCCTCCAGTACCAAGAGTTCAAGTCTGGCGTCATATATGACCTAGACTTTGTCGAGAAGGATTTGGCTGCACCAGCGCATGATGGGATGTGGAAGTGGGATGAATTTGGTGGCATCATATCCATGCTCTTCTGGTGGGTCCTTGAGTTGACACCTAAGATAACCTTTGTGCAGAACAAGCACACGGGGTTGTGGGAGTTGAGGCTTCGGTATGCTCAGTTTGGTCACTTCACAACATTGCCCAACTGACTGAAATACTCAGCTTCAATTTTTTCCGGCCGCGCTGCATTCCTCGAGGTGTAACACCAGGTGAAGACCGAGGTGATCCCCCAGACACTTGGGTGCAGTTCTTGAAGGCTCGCTCAAAGCCGCATTACCACTGGTCTGTCCGTGAGCGTATGAAAATCAAACATGGCTACCACCCTAGGCCCTGGGGCCATAATGAAAATGTCGATGAAACGTGGATTGAAGTTTATTAGCCTGCATTTTGTTTTCCATGTGATTACCTAGCCAGGTCTCAACTTTTGTTTGGTATCCGCGCTGGTTTTACTTTGTCTGGAGGCCCTTCATGCTTGTAATTGATGGGGATTTTCTTGTCGGATTCCCCTTTCTACCTCCATTTTACCGCTTGTGTGTGAGTGAAGGCGTAAGGATAGCGTGGCAACGGCCCTGATGGGATGTTGAAGCCTCTTGATTTGAAGCGAGCTGGTAACATTCCCAGCAATTATAGCATGTGTTAGGGCTTCTGCCCTCCCTGGCGATTTGAGCAGCCAAAATTCCTCCACTGGATGCAGCATGGGCAAGGTGGATTTCCTCATTTAGGAGATGCTTGATTACTTCTTGGATGGTTGTGGAGTCCACTGAGTGAAGGGGGTCATCCAACAGAGTGTTGACAACAATGACAAGAGGGGAGTAGGGTTCTGGGAGATCGTGTATCAGGATGTTTATGATGTGTATGGGGATCATGGGGGACTTGACATCTTTGAGGTGATGAGCAGCATCTTCAACCTTGGTAATCCGGCATCATAGTGCATGGAATTGAATCAGTAATGGAGCATGGCAATGGAACTGTGGCCCTCAGTGCAGAACAGTGTCCTGAGTTTGTTCCAAGTGCCAGGTGCATCGGTGTCATTGCAATTGTCATATCCATACATACCTGATCCTGATTTGACTTCCAGACCCTCCCTCCACCTCTGGAGTCCTACCCTATCCTGTCCACTCTGATCTCCACCTTCGGACCTGACACCACCTTCCTCTCCTCCTGACTCTCTTCTGCCAACCTCTGCCAAGGTATGACCTCCCACTTCTGTCCCATACCCTGAACTTGAGCACTGCTTGTACCTCCACTCTGAGATCCTGTCAGTCCCCAACCTTGGACTTTGACTCCACCTTGGCTTAAGTCCATTGCATTGGTGACCTCATTTCATGTTGAAGGAGAGAATGTGTTGGAATTTGTACACGTGGTCTTGGGAACCATAATGCTAAAATATGGACATTCTGGGAGTTGAACCGCAGAACCCTGCATAGGTACCAAGAGTGTGTTATCATTACACTAAATGCCCACATTAGGCAGGGGTGGTTTCTAACAGAATGAAGGAAAGTCAGTTGGGAGGTTCTAATGAGACCACCACCAAGCTGTTCCCTGGTTCTTTAGTTTTGTACTAGTAGATTTGTTGTAAATATAGTACCAATCCAAGTGTTTTGGCTAATTCTATTTTATGGGTTTGTCTTAAGCCCCTAAGAAATGACTTACAGATGAACAAAGCCCTGTGGAGCTGTTCCCTTAGTGTAATTTCTCACTTTATCTAGATATAATTCTGTGTAGGATTGTTAATTCTGGAATTTTAACCTGAAGTAAATCTTCTACTTGGTGAATTTTCAAAGATTCTGCTCCATCAATGGGTTTAGATTGTGTTTTGAAATCTGGAGTGTTAACCAGCTCTCCTGTTTGAAATATTTACTTAATATTTCTCTCCCTGATTGCTGCCTTTTACTACAGTGGCAATATTAACTGTATTTCACTTTTTTCACACTGGAGTGATAACCAGAAATGCTTGAGACAAATAATACTCTATTTTCTTACTTCTCTGAGGGGGGCATAAAGTTGCAGAAAGGGTCTTTGCCAGAGTCTGCACATCAGTTTGCATGTAAGAATCTCCCTGGGAAACTAGTTGTTGTTAAAGCTGGGGAGCCAACCCAGCTGGCAATAAGGCCTTATATACATGAGTTCCGCAACTCATAAGAGTGTGGCTACATTGGGAATACATGGTGGCCGATAGAGAAGCAACATGAGATAGGAGAATAGATCATGCAGATAAGGGGGCGATAATGGGTAAGGGGTGATGTGATAGCGGAAAGAGTGCATTGAATACAACCTGCATTCTAACTATGGCAAATCACATGCAGATATTGGCTTACAGGTACTCAACCTATCCAGATAGGGGTCCAGGCCGGCTGGATAACCGTCCATGCCCTGACAGTCTCCCTTTTATACTCCTTGGGTTACCTTCCTTTTTCATGCTCTACCTTGTATTTACAGGATTTATTTACAGTGTATTGTCCTCAAAATGAATAAAAAATGAAATTTTCATGCTATAGTTCTACTGCACTCAGCTGCACTGAATTGTGGCACTGCTGCAGTCAGACTGTGCCTAGAATTCTCATTGTCCTTCCTTGCCTAAGCTATTTTAATGTTTCAATTAGAACTTGACTGCACCCCACATCAGCAAACCTGAATGCAGAGGTCTGAGAGCTCATAGAGCTATATTTGCACACAGGGGACTATAATCTATATGAGCTCCCTGAGTGTTTAATTTACCTGATATCAAAATTAAAATTTAAGAGCATTGACTCTGGCATCATGTGATGAGTCACAGCCAAGTCCCTACCATATAGGAAACTGAACAAACTGAGCTTGACTTTCAGCCCCCAATGCAGCACTACACACCAAGGGTATATAGCCAAATTAATATATAGACTAATTAGGGATATACATTACAGTTAATCTGAAATTACTTATGGAAAATGCAGGAAAATGAGTGGGGAAATGGGGGGGAAAATGAGGGGAAATTTGAGGGGGAGAATTGAGGAGGGAATTGGGGGGGGGGGAATGGGGGGGAAATGAGGGGAAAATTGAAGGGGGGGGAAATGGGGGGGAAATGGGGGGGAAATGGGGGGGAAATGGGGGGGAAATGGGGGGGAAATGGGGGGAAAATTGAGGAGGGAATTGAGGGGAAAATTGAGGGGGGAATGAGGGGAAATTTGAAGGGGGAATGAGGGGAAATTTGAAGGGGGAAAGGGAATGGGGGGGGGTATGATGTTACAAAAATGGGGCCGGAGGTGCCCATTTTCGTCCGTTCGAGGTGCAGGAAGAGGGAAGGGGGTAGAGGTTGAGCTCATGCGATTTTACAGATATTTTAACATATGGTTTAACAGATGTTTTCACAAGTGGTAGTTTAGGTGGTTAATAATTGGATAAACTCTAATTATTTACATATCATGTGATTTGGGTGTGTGCAGGGCCCATAAGAGTCTAAATTGGGAAATTTCCCATTTCCATAACATATGAGCTCATAGAGCTTTTCAAGTAATGATGCTGGCCATTTAATGTGCATTTCCAAAAATGTATATACATATTATCTTTGCACTTCTGCATCCTTAGGAGAACAAAATCATTCAAACATTTAATTTTCTCCACCCAATGTGTAGAGGGTGCACAGCAAAAAGACTCAATTTGCTCACAGAGCTCTGTGAGCTCCCTACCAAGTTTGCTGATGCATTTGTCACAGTTTTTTATTTCAAATTCTTCTTATCTACAGTCATGGACAGGCAAATACATTAAAGCTTCCAGACTGGAATTGTTCATCACAATAAGCTCAATTTTGAGGGAAACAAATTCTTATTGGGTGTAGCTACCCAAAAATGGTGTTTTTGGAATTTTCTCAGCACCAGACAATTTTTTGAGCAAAAATTTTTCACATGTTCTGAGTATTTGAGTGACTTCACAAGAGTATATCCTGTATGGCAATCAACATTAGAAGAATTTTAGTTGAGAATGGCCTCCATTGCAGCCATTGCTGCTCCAGATGCAGTGCGATGGCCCTTCTGTTTTTTTACTGCCCACTCTGCAGCCTTCCCAGTCAACCCACTATGATATGCATCCATAAAACACCATGCATGATTAATAAACTTGCAAATAGTGCTGAGGGGGCATGAGTTCAAACACTCAAGCACTGCTGTCTTGGCAGCTGCAAAGGAAGGCTTCCAAATGTCATGATATTGGTACTTGCAATACCCCCAGTACTGTGAAACCATTAGACACATGCCAAGGAATATCTGAAAACAAAACATACCATTTCAATTGGATTGAGCTTGCAGTGAAACTTTGGCAAGAACATGCAAAGATGTCCAGCTTTCTCAATTAGTTCCTTGAGCATAGACTTCTGATTAATGAAATCAGATTGCCAACTAAGAATGTGTGCAAGGCAGCAGTCTGTGTTCTCAAATGAACAGACAGGCTTGCATTTTGCTTTTATCCCTTTTGTATCAAAGCCACACTCTGTCAACACCGACTCTAGACCTTTTGCTTTGCCATCAAGGGTTTTCATTGCTTGCTCCTTTCCACATTGGGAGATGTTGTCATATCCCGGAATCCCAACCCCATGCACTCCCACCACACCACACCTTCCTAACAACTTCACCATCCCCTACACCATGCCTCCCCACTCCCCAAGTCACCTTCCCTCCTGACTGTCTCAGCTCCGGTCTGGTTGCGGCACACCGAACCTTGGCCACTCCCATCCCGGAAGCTCGGTCCCAAGTCGGAACATTCGGAGACCCCAGATTTGCTCTGATATCCTGACGGACCTCCGACATCCTGTGACATGCCCTTAAACCATTCCTCCACCCATTTCATTTATTTGAGTCACCTAACATCCTTTGGATACCCAACTCCGCTTTCGGAGCTACCCACATCCTTTGGTGATCTCCCTCACGTTATCACTTATTAGTCACCTTCCATTCTTAGCATGACTACCTTCTTCCTACCATTCAGTCGGCTAACCCCCTTTGCCCATTTGTCTTCCCCATTCATTTTCCGGCCTCCAACTCCGCCCTCCTTGGCCCAACACCTCGGTTCCCTGTTTAAGATATCGTTCGGGACCTTTCGGTACCTCTCGGTATCATTTGGCACCTTTTGGTGTTGCCCCATTGTCATTTGGACTTTGACTAAGTCCTTCCCATTCCCCTTTATAAATACCTGTAGATTAGAACCTGTAGTTCTTCAGTTCTAATCTTGACTAAAAATGCCACCCAAAGTCCCTCTGAGTGAATCCCGTTCCTGTTCTACAAGATACCTCAGACATAAGAAATACAAGGACTAACTGAGACGTAACGGAGGCACAGCGCTCCCTCCGAGTCGCTGAGGCCACGTCCTTCTTAGAGCCTCTTGTACCACCCAGCAGAACCAGGCTCCCTGAGA